AATTCACTGAAAAACTCGGGGTGAGAGCGTAGAGTCCGACACGTCATGTAATACACATATGTATTATCATTGACAGTAGCGGCACAAAATGTCGCTGTCAGCTTCAGATGGATAGACAAATAATGCTTCGGAGTGTTTACAGAATCACCTATCATGGGCACGTATGTACGATAATTTGCACGAAAACCGCTGCTTCTAGAAATAATATTTATTCTAGTACATACCTTTACACAAGCGCAAAATCCGACTCAGATATCGTCCAATGAATTCTTATCATCCAGTGCAAATTTCAAGCACCTTACCCGTGATGAGATGGAATATATCCTTAAGGCGAATAATTCTAAGCATCAAGCCCTCGAGGCAAAGGTGAGCCGTTTATTTGTAAGGGTTGTTGTGACCCCAACACACTGATACCTGCAAAGCTGATAGAAGGTCTCGCGTTCAAATTAGGCTAAGAAATATCAACAGAAGAAATCCTTTCATTATGTGTGGAGTCTAATAACTCGCCCACCAGAGGTGTCATTCGCACAAGAGTGGTCAAAGCATTTAAAATAGTACAAGATAGTCAACGTATAGGGAAAAAATTCACGCCATTGGCAGTTTAATTGACCAGGTGTACGGTACATATGTCGAAAGGAAATGTTGTTTGAAACGTTTCAACGATAGAGCCGCTTACAGTAAACCACTGCATATTTTCATGCACCTACCGTCGGCCCTGGCTTAAATTGAAAAAAATATGCACGCTGCCGTGAATCAGTTTAACAACAGATACAACTGCTGCTTAGCTTCAAAAGGGTTTTAGGGACAATGTTTGTCAGCCATATCAAATCAATATTTTTCACTGATCAATAATACAAATCACAGAGCTGTTGAGTGTCATCATAAATATGTCACAATGCCAAAGTTCCAGAAGGTTAAACTTGTCATTAACATATTCAGTGCCTTGGTCGGTCTGTATGATTTGCGGAAACCCATGTTTACATATGATATGTACCAGCGTCCGTGCTATAGTCGCCGCTGATTTGTTCATCATTGGTCTGAGTATGACATATGATGGATGCACATCTAGCCATACTAACACATTGTGTGTCCTCTGTTTGAGTTCAGTAGTGGCCCAATGGTGTTCACTTGGACTCTGTCCCCTGTAAATGCGGCTGTGATTGATTGTAAGGGATGGAATTCCTTTTCGTGTATCTTATTTTTGAGACATGGTACGCAATCTTCATTGTACTTGTGTACATGTTGTTGAATTTGTGGCCAATCGTGTCCATCTGCTTGCAACTTTTTTACCGTTTCCTCAGGGTTATAATGTCCCAAGTTGTGGTATTGCTCGATGGCGTGAACACGTGTCTCGTATTCTGTTTCATGCGGTGCCTCTCCAGAGTAAACTGGTTGTGATGCTGAAGCGTGTATGGCAGGTTGTTCCCGCGTTGAGGCAAATTATGGAGACTTCACTCCTATCTTTGCTACTGATGAGACGCCACATGGGGTCTTGCCACATTCGTTGAGGAACTTATTGTTTGTGTTTTCCACTAGCATCGAGTCTTCTTCTAGTAAAGACAATAATTTTGGAAACCACGTTGCATTGGGATATTATGGTACACATCTCGTGATGCTGGTTGCCTCTTTAATGACTTTGTCAAGGATCTCAAGTATGAGTTTCCACGGTGGGTTTGCCCATGCATTCAATACCTGCGCCCACTTCTGCAGGAGCGCATTCTGGTTTTTGGTATAGTACTGATGCAAACAGATCTACTGTGAATTTCTCAAATCGTCTTTCAGTTTATTTGTAGAATCTGGGGTGTAACATCCAGTCTATAGCTATAATGGTTATGGGCATGTTAGTTTCCAAGGTGGTGCACTCTCGGCTGTTGTGTGTTGTTTTGTTCGCGTTATGCAGTACCTCTGACTTTTTAGTAGTAAATATGTCTTCGTATAGACACGACATCATGTCTGCCATCTGGTCGTCCTTGCCTGGGACATGTTTGATGGAGAAGTGGTGGTGTAATGTTTTAGCTATCCATTTAGTTAGCATTGGGTGTAACGTCTGTTGGCTGTTCATTTGCGTGAGCGCTTTATGATCTGTCCACAGTGTTATGTCCCCTCCTTTGATATATTCGGAGAAATGTTCTAGGCTGTATGCCAGTGCTAGTAGCTCTTTAGTGTTTGTGCCGAAGCGTTGTTGTGGTGGATTCAAGCCTTTGGAAAAGTAGAAAATATCTCTCCTGACTCTATCGATGACTTGAAATAAACATCCTCCTATTCCATAGTCACTAGCATCGTTCATGGTTTGAAACGGTACCCCATCAACAGGGTATGCTAGTGTCGCCGAACACGCGATGGCTTCTTTGAGTTCTTCCCACTTCTTTTTGAGTTCCGGTGTCCATAGCATGAATATATTCTGGTTTATTTTCCCTTTCATTAGGTTCCTGAAGTGTTAAGTTGTGTGGGCAAAGTTGGAAATATGGTCGCGCATATAATTTGCTAGTCCCACCGCTTTGTGCAGATCTCTTTTCGTTCTGGATAGTGGCCAGTCCATCATTCGTTTCTTTTTTTCAGGATCAGCTATAGGTCATTTGTGGTGACTTTCACACCTAGAATATTGACCACTTTGACCGCGAAGGCATATTTGTAGTGGTTGAGTCGGAAGTTTGCTCCATTCAACCGTTTGATTACTTCGAGAACTGTCTTGCGGTGTTCATCTTCTGTAAGACTTACAATTACTATGTCATCTACATACACTTGCACACATTTGATGTTTGTGAGCAAGTTTGCCATGACTCTTTGGAATTGTGCTGTGAGTGAGTGTAGGCCAAACAGCGCTGACATGAATGCGTATTGCGCTCCTCTCCACGAGAACATGAAGAAGTGTTGGCTTGCTTCATCTACTAGGAAGTGATGGAACCCTCCCGTGAGAACTAACTTTGAGAAGAATTGTACTCCTTGTAGGTTGTGTAGTACTTCTTTTATTTTTGGTAGCACGAATTTATCTTGTCCATGTTGGTAATTGATCTCAAGTGAGTTTAAACATGTTCTTACTTTCTTAAGGACACCTGTTTGGTCATGTTCACCTGTTGATAACAATGGTAGATTCACTGTTGTTGGTGTAGTTCGTTTGTATATGTGACCATCTGTAAGCCACCTTTTCATGTTTTCATCCGTTTGCGGAATATACTTATGGGGTACAAAGTTGACTTTGGCATGCCTCATTTGTCTGACATTGATTTCATTTGCAGGTACTGTGACTGTAGAGCCTGGTAGGTTGCAATGTACATCAGGAGGTATGTTCACATTAGTGTCTAGGATATCTGACAGTGATTATCTGAAGCCTTTTTGTTCATGCTTTGGGTCTTCCTCATGTGGAGTGAGTAGTAATTTTCGTTTTGCATCTGTTGGTATAAGTGGATTTATTAATCCCGCTATGGATACGCCTATGTAGGGTAAAATGTCCATACCTAGAAGTATTGGTGCCTTCTGGTCTGATAGATTCAATACTTCTACACACTTGGATTGACCTTGTTCTTTGTATTCTTGCATCTGTTTGTGGTAGTTATATGTAGCCCGGTTGCGCTCTGACAGAGAGATACACTTCAGTTAATATACTCTTGTCCATACATCAGCTCTGCGCGCCAGAGTCTACTAGTGCATTGTATGTGTTGCCATTTTGTACGTGTCAAAGTGCAAGCGTTGGTCTCGTGGTGCGGGAAGTAAGGATAAAGGTTGGTAATTTATATCATATGCATGTATTAACAACATTTCTTCATCTGTATGTACATTAAGCCTGTCAGCCAGGTCAATCATGTTTGCTTCCTCCCACCAGTTGTTGCAGGACTCATCGCCATCTGTGATGTCTTCTACCTTTCCGGAGGTGATGGACAGTCTTGCTAGTTGCACATCGTTCTTGACACGCTCCCCAGCCTGTTTGGTCTGATTCGATGCCTTCATGAGACATAGACTGGAACGATGTGGGACTGGCATCACCTTACAATAAGGACATGCACGCTCTTCGCGCGCCTCTCACTTCTCTTGAGTTTGTCCTATTGGCTTGGTTTGTTTCGGTGCGCCTTTCTCTGGTTTGTGACGTTTCAGGTTTGGTCGCAGTGGTTGTGCCGTTCTGAGACTGGCTGCGTGTGACTGGCTGCGAGTTGCGTTTCTTACGCTCTCTGTACAAACGCTCTGCCTGTACTTTAGCCGCTACTCTTATGATTGCTTCAGTAGGAGAGTAAAACGTGGTGTGTTTCATATCGGATAAGTGACCTTCACTTTCATCAGGCAGTTTGTCTGCTTTGATGATGACGTCCACTTTCTTCTGTTGTCCGTAGTACGTAAGTGCCTGATCTTGAGGATTTTGCGTGTGTATAGTCTCTTTGTCCGAGTTGCGGTAACACTCTTCTAACACTTGCATTGTTCGATGCAATCGCTCTGTGTGCACCTCCACGTTCAATGTCTTATTCTGCATGTCATTGAGAAACTTCTCTAACAGATTCTCTACTGGATGGTGTCTGAGGCTGACAATAATGATTCTATTCAATTGTTCAGGGTCCTTGTAGTGCTTGGTCATCTGTGTTTCAGAGTATCGTAACTCATTGGGCACCCCCTTGGTCGTCTCCGTTGTATCAATGGAGTCTAATAGATATCTCGCGCGCTGGGTACGAACATGATGACACAGACTTGGCTAAGAATAGATCTCTGCATCGCGTAGTAAACTCTATAATATCTCCACATTTTTTCGTTTTGAAATAACTGTCTCGGGGTAACTTCGGAAAATCCTGAGGTTTTTAGTAGTTAAAGTGTAGGTTCATTGATCCTATCGCCTAAGCGTGAACGCATGAGTTATAACTCACTGATGCACTGACTGATTTGTATTAGTTCGTCCTCCTCGTCATCACCACACTCATTGATAGCTAAATCGTATCTTCTTCTGTGAGTTATGCATCGACGATTGGCATGCGTCGTTCTGGCTGTTGATCGTCTATGCCTACTCTCACCTTGTGTAGACTCGATAGATATCGGTGCTGTTTGTTCCAATTTGGCTACAAACCTACTCACCAGGACATAGTTGCCTTGACAGATGCTTTTGTCTATTTGTAAACGCATTGCTGAAGCTTGTATGGGTGCCCCTCCCCCGGTGTTGGTTGGCTTGAGCTACTGCCTGGGTTTGTCCCCCCTGCTGGGCTGTCACCCGCATCGTCCGCGCCAGCGCCACCCTCTTCACGACCATACACGCCTGCTCTGGTTGCCGTTGGCATCTTGAGATATATGTGTTGATGTGTGGGTATTTCAGGTTATTAGTAGCGACTCGTGCTATATTCTGTGCGAATGCGCGCTTCACCCGCTTTGTCTTTGCTAGTAATTTGTACAAAAAAATGTATAAAATTTGAATTTATCTCACTTACTTTTATTGTGGTCTCGCTTTGCTGCACTTCCGTTGGAAGTGCTCACCGTTCTGTGTTGTGCGGTATCTTGTTGCGTTCCTTCCTGTGATTGGGGAGGTGTAAACGGTGTTTGTAGGTTCGGCTTATTCCGTCACGTGTGGACTTATTTGAACTTATTTCGTCATGTGCGAAAATATTTCTCACACGATTTTAATTAGATGTTTGGTCCTAATGACGTCACCTTTGAAGTTCGGTCTTATTGGCATCACCCTTGATACTCTGTTTCATACCGAACTTACTTGTATTGACGACGATCTATTTGACTTGTATGTGAATCGTTTGATCGTGTTCCTGTGGTATGTTGATGTGCTGTTTACACTTGAGATATTACTTCAGATGATTAGCACCTGTGTGTCTACTTTGTGGGTATGTGAATCGTTTGATCGTGTTCCTGTGATATGTGGATGTGCTGTTTACACTTGAGATATTACTTCAGATGATTAGCACCTGTGTGTCTACTTTGTGGTCCTCTTAGTCGCTTTTATTGTGGTTAGTGAACTGAATTCACTTCCGAGTCTCACGAACTGTTTACTAACTGAATATCACTTAGGTAGCCCACTTTTCTGTTCGGTCTTATTGGCATCACCCTTGATACTCTGTTTCATACCGAACTTACTTGTATTGACGACGATCTATTTGACTTGTATGTGAATCGTTTGATCGTGTTCCTGTGGTATGTGGATGTGCTGTATACACTTGAGATATTACTTCAGATGATTAGCACCTGTGTGTCTACTTTGTGGTCCTTTTAGTCGCTTTTATTGTGGTTAGTGAACTGAATTCACTTCCGAGTCTCACGAACTGTTTACTAACTGAATATCACTTAGGTAGCCCACTTTTCTAACATGTGTGACTTTTGATTCGCATCTATGTTTGGTGTGTTTGCCGACCCCATTGAATTGTGGGTTCGTCTAACCTATGTTTGTCTTTTTGTGTCATTGTGTTGCACACTGTAGAGTAGTCTTGTGATCAATACCTCTTCCATTTAAAGTGTTATTACCTGAATTGTGTGCGAATGCGCCTGCGCATATGTTGTTTCAGTATCTTTTTGTAGTGGTGCACCCTTAGCTAGATATTACTCGGTGTGTTTGTTATCCGCATGTTACACTTATTATGTATCTTGGATTTTCGTCGGTTACTTTCTTGCTGTTGCTATGAGCCCCAACTAGTAATCTTGATGCTCTAGTAATTTTTTTATCTATTGAGCTCTTAGCGTGCTCGATCAGGTTTTTTGTTGTTCTTGATCAACTGTACTGTGGTTGCATTGTCAGATTGTGATTATGTTATTTCAAACTGTTTGTTTGTGATTTGCTATTTTGTGTCTTGTGTTTTTAATGTCACTTGGATGTGATGTCTCAATGCTTATGTGTCTTCTGGTTGCAAGCCACACTGGTGCTTTTGATTTTATCATGCTAAATGTTGTATCACTTGACGTGTATCATTCATTAGTCATGTGTTATAAATCTCGTGCTATTGTCTTCCATGAAGCATGTGTACTACTTTCTATTATTTGTCAATGTTATGCTACTATGAGATGTTGAGGATTCGACCTTGACTTATCACTTGAATTTTACGCCTTACAACCTTTGTATGTTCAAGCGTTTGTTATACTTCTCTTTGTAGTCGTGATATATGTTCTGTTATACGTTGGTAGCCACCTGTGGTATGATTGTCCAGAGATGTTCTGTTACACGTCATTTGAGGTAATTTCATCCGCTGACCCACGTATATTTGTAAACTTCTGGTCCCAAACTAGGATACTGATGTTCTTGGTATAAAGAGAGTCTTGGTATTCACTCTTCCTTGATTGCTCTGTACTTGTAGTATTAGGTGTGATAGTCAGCATTCCCTTTTTTGAGCTAAATTTGGTGGTCTCATCGATTGCTCATGAATTTGATGCCCTCTCTGTGTTTCTAGAGGATAGGCTAAGAAAACCTTGTGTATTCTGTGTTCTAGTTTCTCTTTACTTGCAGTAGTACACTTGCCAATCTACATAAGCAGACCAAATTAGAATCCTCACCTGTATTATTGCGAATTGGATGCCTACGTGCGTTTCTTATCGAAATGTTGACTGTCTTCTTTCTATGCTTTTGTCTATAAGTGCGATTCTACTCACTGAACCTCACCTTATTCCTCCCACCACTGTTGGTTGGGTGTGCCTGCCTGTTCTATCCCTATCTGGACTGTCGGGTACGTTTACTAGTCTTTCTTCATTTCCTTAGTGGGGTGTTCTAACCTACTAAAATTTTCTTATTTGAAAATCACAGTGGCACTCCACAATTTTCACACAGAATATCTCAACATTGAAGAACTCATCACCTTGACACTTTTGGGTGGTTTCTCTTCTATTTGTCACTAGACGGCACTGAAACTCCCCCAAACCTTACCCTACTCCTTCTCGGATACCAGAGATTTCATGGGACCGCTTCTTGCCTGTTTCTGGGGTCCAGCTTCTAATTTCCTCCGACCCACTTGTTTCTCAGACTCACTGGTAGTCTCCCGGTTTCGCCTTGTTACGGTCTGGAGCTCCGTCACTGCTTCTTTATGGATTATACTTGCTTAACGCTGAATACAGTAATTTGTGTGAGGTTTTTAACTGACCTCTTTCTGCTCAAAACACTACTAGTTTCTCACCTTAAGTGAGGTTTGTTTCTATCTGACTTATCTAAGTAAGGATATTGTTAAAAAAAATGTAGCGTATGGAGAGTAGCTGAAAAGTACGAGCCAAAGGGTACAATAGACCGCTTCTCAAGCACGGTTATCTCAGCTAGGAAAAGTCCCAGTCTGAGATAATCGAACCGAGTCTTTATTTGTGTTTTCTATTTCACTAGACTCAGGTTTTATACTTGAGTGTTTCTCTCACACGCGGAGTCCCTGTATAGCTTGCCGGTTCTACTGTTTATTTTTCAGATGACTCTAATATCAGAAATATTTGAATCCTAATTTCAAAACTCAATATTTGATTATTATGAGGTTTTGGGATTTGTATTGGCTTGTTGATAATCTGGTCCCTAGATGCTACACCATTGCACCTTGTCCTCGTCGTTTATTTACTTCTATCGAGTTATTCAATACGTTCTCCGCCAGTATGTCTATAGAGCAAGTATGTATACAATACACATGCAGGTACACAATAAAAACTTATTTAGTAGGCAAGTTTTCCTACGCACTTCAAATCGGGTTCACTCGATGTTATGGGTGGGACGTACATCTGGTTTATTTTTAAAACAGTTGATGGAACCCAGCTTACTGTTAGGTAGAATTGCTCTTCCTGTGCTTGATAAAGGCTATTTTTTATCGTACAAAATGTTTTTAAATATACAACTGTTTCTTCCATTCGTGGTTAATATTGCATGTGGTGTGGTATTGATTAAATTTCTTTTTGGTACTGCAGACTGATGTTGGCCCACTTGACTTGTTGCTCTCTCCCAAGTGTTTCTGTTTGGTGTTCTCTCTCACGTGTTGCTGCTTGCTATTCTCACTCTTGTGTTGATGCACTGCTTGTTATTTGCTCTCTACCCTCCACTATTGCTATACTGCCATTTGGGAATGTGTTTTGTACGCATAGCTTGGTATGTTTCGAAGAGGATGTAGCCTTTATCACCTTCGCTTGAGTTTTGCCGCATAGGTTGATAGGTAGTATGAAAGAATCATGTACACTGCTAATGCCCAGGCCCGAATGTGGCTTTTAAAGACACAGCGGCTATGGTTTAGGCTGATTTGTATATCTCAACTGTGCATATATACTTTCTGTTCAGTCTTCATCCAATTGTCTTGTGCTTTCTCATTTGATATTTTGATTGCATTCTCCATACACTGCTTGAACCATTTTGTGAGCAATACTCCCATTTCAGGGGCAACCTGCATATTGATCAATATACACTTTTATGTTATCTCTGGCTGTCCGGCAAACACCTTACTGTTGTAGATGTTTGGATTTAGATTCACGCATAATATTGTTACGATATTATCGCAGCTTTTTCAAATCTTCGAGTTCTAATCTACGAGTTCTCGAATAGCACACATGACAACTATACCTTTATTGAACCAGTTTCATCTTAGAATGCATATTTTTGCCTTCTTTGCTTAGCATCTCCACCGTTCCGCCCAAACACTTCTTCTTAATGGGACCAGTACATAGTCTTCTACATTTGGGAGGGGTGGTGGGGAGGCGGGGGAGTCATATTTTCTTATTGAGGATTTTGTCATGTATGTCGCGAGTTCCAATTCGCAGTGCTAAGTTCCCCCATCGTTTATCCTGTATTAATCGGTATGCTGTAAATATTTTAAAATGTACTCGTGTGAATGGTGTTCATGTGTACCACAACAATGTGGTACAGCTCTACGCCAGCATTTTGCCTACCTTCTCTTTTCTTTTTGACCCTATCTGTGTAGACATACACCATAGTCGTCCATGCATCTGTTCGTGTGCACAAGCTCGTTTGTGCATACTAGAAGTCCATCGAGCTCTAGTCCGTCCCCCCCCCACCCCCTCAGCATACAGTAAGTCTTTTGCCAAAATTTGCAACGTGTACAATACATAGAGTCGGTTATTGAAGTTCTCGATCGCGGAGAACGTGCCAGCATTGTCGCTTTAAACCGTGATTGATTTCACAAGTGAATACAGTTTTGTACACGCATTTTTAGTCATGGTTGTGATCATTATTGAATACGATAACCATATATCAATAGTGAATTGAAATTAGTACTTGTTTATGAGGTGGCATAGTAGCATACAAACGACTTATTTACTGGATTGCATTAAAATAGTACTTTCCGCACATAGAACGATCTGGTATAGCAATTCTTCATACTTTTTAGAAGGTACATAGATAAGATCTATAACGTCTTGTTGCTACTTAACACGTATTAAATGCTGCATGTATCGAAATATTTCCCCTTTGACGATCTTCAATACAGGAATAGGCTACAGCAATTTAACATTGTTCGATTGGCTGCCATCAATGCTTGTATGCCTAGCTATTTCATCAGTTGTCAGTTGCCGAAGAGACAAGTCTGTGTTTTTGTGAAAGGGAACAATAGAGTGTAGCTCGTTTCCACATTATTCTAGCCATTGAGGGGCACAACAAGTAACTACATTGTTTATATACAAAATGCAGGTATTTAACGTGGCTCACGGTTAACAAATTCAACTGTAGAAGAAACAGGTGGAGGCTTGAAAGACTATGTAAAAGCAGCGTTATCTTATATCGTAGGCCTACGAAGCGAGCACCAAACTAGAATGATAAACTTGGGTCAAGGTAATAATCAAGATAAAAATAGATTACACAGTAGCACGGTAAGCATACATGCAACATATAGTATTTCTTAAATTATAGGGCCTGTGCATAAAAAGGAGGTTTACTCAATTCAGTACATATACCAGTGATTCATGCATCTGAATAGATTAGATCGTGGTTACACACTGTAAAGACCTATACAGGTACGAGATGGAGTAGCAGATGCGACTGAAGGTAGAGAAAACAATCTTATTGAAAAATGGCGAATTGAGAAAGAGTGAGCTAACTGCAATTTTTGTTCCATTCGACCTTTGTGAAGTCTTTCTGCTTAACCTTGTGATCAAATTCCTGGCCTTGAATATTAAGCCTTTACCAATTTCTTTCATTTTCGCCGTGTCTATAAATAAGGTCTAACCACGTGTTTATTGTCAATCAACTGCATTCGTGGTCCAACTTCGATTTCGGGGTAAGCTCTGGTATCGCGAATTAGAACATGATCAATGCTTTCAATATCTCTGAAAAACTGCGTACAATAAAATTAGAAATTAGCACAACCGAACCCATCATGTTGGGAGCGCGTGGAATATATTCTCGAGTCCCGATCTGATACAGAGAACAAGCTCGATAAGAATTTTTCAGATGTCTTTGCCGTTTATTGCACACCAGATTTAGGAAAATTAATTTGATATACGTTTCAATCACCACTTATCAACTTTATTTAGATCACAATGCCTGTACAGTTCGGTATATAAATTTGAAAGGGCAAATTACAACCACCACATTAACAGAATATAACGAAACTCTTTCTCTGTGAATAAATTGTTCTATGATGTGGATGATTATATGTTGACCTTAAAATTAATAAAAACAAAAAGGTTTCCGTTCGAATACATTTAAGGGATTCTGACCAGCTCACTAGCAATACAGATACACACGTCCTTATACGAATCTCTTTATAGGCGTCTTAGTATTTTTGCAAGCCACTCGTAGAGTATGAGAATGGCTGGAAAGATACGACAATAGGAAACGATTTACCTCGTCTGCCTCAACCGCTCTGCACAATTCTTCCGATAGTCGGAGCATCCGTGCATGAAGCGCTTGGCGATCCGCCGCAATACATTCCGGTCTCGGAGGGGTCACCTTGTCACCAGCCGTTGGTGAGGATACCTGTGTCGTAGGGGTCGATAACACCGTGTGTTCGGTTATCGAGTCTCGTAGTGCCTCCGCCTCGAATCGTCGATTCTGTTGCTGAGAATGAACCGTCTCGGATAATCGATCACGACGGTTATCCAGCGCCTCCGGCCCATGAGGGTCTTGTGCTGCTCTTTGCTGCGCATGTGCAGAATCTTGTAGGGAGATCGCTGCCCGTGGTGTATCTGAGTCTTGAGGTCCCATCCCTTGGGCTGGGGCTTGGTATCCGACTCCGTATCTAGCCGCACTGCCTGGAATCCTGAACTCTAAACGTTCATTTTCCCCAACTGGCTCCGGCGGCTGACTGGTACTAATACTCTCCTCTTGGCCCTGATCTGGAGAAATAGTGGTCGGACCTCCTCGAGGTCTCTCTGCCTGCCGCTGAAGGTGTTGCAGCCGCTGCTCATATCTATCCAGCAATTTTTGCTGTTTCTGCAGTAGCTGATCCGTCTTGGATTGCGCATTGCTCCCGTGTTGACGGCTCTGACGGTAAGGGCGTCGCTTCTGACGAGGTCGAGTCTGTCCTTGTTGGTGTAGAACCCTGCCGCCGTCATTCTGACGCTCCTGTCCCCTATCACTACCTCGCCAGGTGTGGGCGCTCGGAGGGGACGACTCGTTGCTTTCGCTCGGCGGTGCTGAACTCTCGCCTTGTCTCAACCGGTTCTGGTGAGTCACTAGGGCTTGCTGCAGCATTGTCTGATTCGCCCGAACTGGTTTGTCTGCCCCCCCCTCGCTGGTCCTCAGATAACCTCTCTTGACACACATATACTTCTCAATTACAACTGCCTATTCCCAGAGCCCATGGACTCACTACTCCTCGTGCAGATTAATTGCATGGAGTAACTCTCATTCATCACTCTTTGCTTTAGACTCATGCCCCCCCTTTGGTCGCACGTGTCATGCTCCCCCTATTGTCGCACGTGCTTCATCTGTATACATACTCGTTCTATCTATTACTTATTCTAGTCCCGACCGTACGTGTTGTCTACCTATTCTTTCTCTATTCCATCCATCCTGCATCTCTTGCTCCTCTTACTTCTTCGCTGACAGCTGTTCTGTCGCGCATGTTCCACAATGTGATGCTATTACGTGTCTCATGTCGAATTTTGTGGTATTCTTCTCATACCTCTACTTCTACACTTATGCTGCTCATAACTAGTCGCTATCGCATGTTACACTTATACGAGGCCAATACACAATGCTTCACTTCCATATACGTACCACTAAAATCTACTGATCCCTTATCACACCCCTCATGTACACTACTTCATATTTGTTCATTCCTAATGTTCACACCTTCCTAGCAACACTCATCTGCCTATAGATTCCACCTATATTTCAGTGTATTGTTGCACGTCTCCTTGTTATCCATAGCGACTTACCTTGTCCATAGCAAGCTTCCCCTGTCCAATGTTCTTCGTTCATTTCCATACGTACCACTAAAATCTACTGATCCCTTATCACACCCCTCATGTACATTACTTCATATTTGTTCATTCCTAATGTTCACACCTTCCTAGCAACACTCATCTGCCTATAGATTCCACCTATATTTCAGTGTATTGTTGCACGTCTCCTTGTTATCCATAGCGACTTACCTTGTCCATAGCAAGCTTCCCCTGTCCAATGTTCTTCGTTCATTTCCTCGTCATGGCCATGTCCCCAAAACCTCGGTGTGTCTGGTACACTCACTATTCGTAGCCTCGCTGGAGGTCCTGCTTGTCGTCTCCTCCACACATTCGTGTATTCCTGTCTCTCTTCACTACTTATTGTAAGTTTTTACTTGGGTGTTCCTCTTACTAGGCAACACTGTTTCCTATCGACTTTCCTGAAACTCCTGATTTGGGAATTCTGTGGTGTTAGTTCCAGCTTTTGCTTTTCCTGGTACCTAGATGCTACATTATATGGAGTTTATACTCAACTACGCTTTATGGCCTACGCTCGGGAATGATTGCAGTTGGCTGTTGAGAGTGTTCGTTCACTTGCATTTTCTCACTGGACTCAGTTTTTACTTGAGTGTTCCTCTTACTAGGCAACACTGTTTCATACCGACTTTCCTGAAACTTCCGATTTGGGAATTCTGTGGTGTTAGTTCCAGCTTTTGCTTTTCCTGGTACCTAGATGCTACATTATATGGAGTTTATACTCAACTACGCTTTATGGCCTACGCTCGGGAACGATTGCAGTTGGCTGTTGCGAGTGTTCGTTCACTTGCATGGCAGCTGAACAATTGTCCTTAATAACAAAAATAAATAAATCCATGATTCATAGCAAGCGTAATTTTTAGCTATGTGGATCTGCAAATATACGTTCGTGGTGAGAAGTGATAGTGATGGCATCGAATGCGAGCAGGGTTCCTATCGACAGATCACGTGCAGTGTGCGGAAGTGTGCAATACATGAATGTGTCCGATATAAGAACCAGCGATATGATGATTTTCTGCCCAGTGTAAAAGTCGGTCTCCTCTAGGCTGACTATACGATACCAAGACGTTTACGTTAACAAGACAATCCGTTATTACGATAAAATGCAAAATGTTAAATAAGTTTAGCTTCAGCCTTTGGTAATGAGCAAAAGATTAGGGGGTTTTATACTGGGACTATTGTCTATATATTCCGCTCTAATCACTCACTACTTCGGTCTAGATTTATTTATGTTTTAGTTAACAAGACTAGATATCACTACATTGGACGCATAGTTTACATTTCACGCATCGAAACAATCACTCAATCAAACTAACCAATGAAATACCTCTAAGTCCAACTTAAGAAAATCAAAAATCAAATCAAAACACCAAGCTGGTGCAGTATACATCTGCACCTAAACCCCATCACTTGGTACCTAGCTCCCCATCCCATTTAATGCATAGACGGGCATATCTAGTTGGCTGGCTAGGAGGAATCAAAACCATGTTGTCCTAAATTCTAACAACTTTGATCCTGTCCTTTTCTCAGTGGATTATCTTGCTCTGAGATCAGTATCGAATTACACCATAGGTTTGTACCAACAACCATTTCATGCCTGAGATCCTCTCTCATGGTACTCCCATTAATTAGAGATTCCCAGAGTGTCATTTTCAGGTGTCAGATTAGTCTCGTTCCTATATTATGTACAATTCTAATTTCAGTGGAAAAACCAATCTATATTCGGAAAGCCACCTAATTGTCCACAGTAGAGTCCCATACTCTACTGAGTACTGTCACATATACAGAATATTGAATTTCTCAGTTCTTGTTAATATCCAATTCGTTAAACATATTCCTGTATCATAAGTATAAACGGTAATACGTTATTACATTTATAAAATACGTTAACTGTGCAACTACTATTAGGAACCAGCTATTTTTACTTAGCCCCCCCCCCCCCCCTCAGCTTGAAAATTACAATATTGGCTTATACGTGGTATTAGCACATAGACTCAAAAAGCTCACATGAATTGTAAAAGCGGAAAGAAAAGAAACGGGTTTCGATCATATAACAGCCTCAATGCTTATGTTATATTCTCTTAGACAAAGTATACATAGACGTTATAAGTTACTCGGCTACTCTATTACGTTTGGGCTTTGGTCCTTGTGGTCCCCGATGGTGGATGGGACGTTTCTTAATGCCTATTGGAGGTACGTACATTCTATGCTGTTTAAAGCTGGGAATGTATGATGTCTGTGGATAGATCTTAACCACTTCGGGTCGCTTATTCGATGGTAAGATTGTTTCTACATCAGCCTTATTTTTGTGTAAGCGTTTGCGAAACTTCTTATTAAAAGCCTTTAGTACATCCGGATCATCAAATGCTGATGGTGGAAGATCAAACTGTGCTCCATCGTCGAACTCCGCAGTGTAATATGTCATATCCTCATGTTTGTACTTCCTTAAAATCTTCTTAAACTCGTAAGACATAAGAGGTGTAGTAGCTTCACGTGTGCGACGAAGGATTATCTGTGTCGTAGGGATTCGATGTGACCCGGTATTTATAGAGCCGTCAACGTTGTTAAATTCATACGTTCCGCTCTTCTTATCGGCCACAGAGATCATAAATGGTCCAATATATTTAGCCGTAAGCACAGTTGTATCGAAGTTGCGAGCCATAATGTTGACTATATCGCCTACCTCAAACTCGTCTATTTTCTTGGTATCATTCCGCCGCTTTTGTCTCATATTGAGAGCGATGTCCTTCATCTCCCTTAAGCAAGGATAAACCACATCTCTGGTCCGACGCATCTTTTCTAAGCATGGTAACACATGATCATCTTGAGACTCCTTGTTATAAGGGGATCTGTAATTCACTATAACGGCCCCGGAAATAGTGAGCTGGTGTTGTATCAGTGACTGAATCAAGAGATTCGTTCATCTGTGTCTGTACCCAAATGATTGAGTATGACCACATGTCAGCATCATCAAGTAGTGCTCCTCACATGAACTCCTTCATTTTTCTGTGTCGTACCTCGTTCGCACCTTGTGTCTGAGGCTTGTAAGGTACACCCATCTTATGGCTTGATCCCGCAACGAGTAACAGTGTCGTCATGACATCTCCTGTAAACTCACAACCGTTGTCGGAACATACAATAGCTGGCCAGCCGAAATCTGCGAAGCACTTATATATGCACTCAGCCACAGTTTGTGTCGATTTATCTTTCAGCGGATATAATATATTATATCTTGATGCGACATCAAACACGTGACAGACATATTTATCCTTCGTGTATTCGGACGTGGGTAGCTCAACCAAATCAATGATATCCCGGCGCCACGGCTCGTCTTCTGATACGCTGCGTAAAGGTGCGTACCCGTAGCGCTTGATCCGGTTAACTTCGCAGTTGTTACATTCGTGATACACCTGAGATATATATTGCTTGAGGTTCGGGTGTACGATTCCGTACCTCTTGCAATCTTTCTCAGTTCTAACCTTATCCATGTGCTTAAGAGCATGATTTTGTCTTAACCACTTCAGAATCGCCTCCTGTGATCTACTTGTTACATTGAAATCAGGAGGTGAGGATTCCACCGCGTCATCACCTGGACTCGAAGACTCGTCTTGTCCAATCTCGCCTAAAGCTTCTACATCGTGAATCCGACTAATGTTTGATCTGTCCATTAGTTGAGTCACATGATCATATACCTCAGAAAAGTCATTCATCAATTGCTTAAGCAATCGAGTTTCTGCTCGGTGTGCAGTTTCCCTGGCAGACCATATCTTTTTGTAGAAGGCTTTCGCTAGTGTTGCGCTCCTCTTTGATTCCTTTGAATTTGGCTGTATCTCGGTAACACATACTGCAAGTGCTAGTGTTGTCCCAGTCTCTGATTGAGACTTCGGATTCAAGAGTGGAATCTTGGATTTCTCAACCTTCTGTTTGAAAGTCTCGGATGGTGTCCACTTGGTTGTTCCAACTGGACCTATTCGACATATTATAGTATGTCGCCAAGGCGTCTTTTGGACTGCACGGGTACCCTGGTAGAGAAAAGTATCTACCTCTCTATACACATAGATCGGCTCACATTGTATCATTGAGATCAACTGTGGTAGTCATTTATCTGAGTGTCTTAGGGGACAACATAACGTGATGGTAGCATCTTGAATATTTACATAATTTACCAACTGTAGTATTAATAGCCATGGAGGATTTGAACAGGCATTCTCGTGAGACAAGTCTATCTGGAATCCGTCTCCTTCCGGATGTTCCAGTGTCTGGTACCTC